ATTTAAGAGCGAAAATATCTTTTTTCATGTTGAAGTGTAAACATGTATCATGTATGGATTTACTGCATTTCTCTCTGTAAAGCACCTCTTGCTCTGATACATTCGTGTGTTTACCGGTTAGCCTTGAGAGTATTCCAGAGTGTGATAACCTTGCAGGGGGGCGGCACACTCTTGCTTAAATAAAGCTCCCGTCATATTGGACGTCAGCTCAAGGTTGACTGCCATTCACGCTTATGGCTCAACTTGCCTCCGCATTGCCCCTCACGCTTGCAGAAGTTAACATGTTTAAAAGCTTCTCATTGATTCGTCCGCTCTGACGCCGCAGCGCAGCGATGAAACGCGCTTAGTGGCTACAGGGGGCCTAACAAGGTTTTGTTTTCTGCTTTAACCTACAATTGAGGGTTGCTGGATCAACACGCACGTTAAATTGGATATTTCACCAGTGTGGAGCTGATATCTGCCGATGTCCTGTTGATTTTAGCTGTACTTTCTGCTGAGAGCTTTAACCCTCGGTTCTTTAAAATAACTGCCCTCATAAATGTGAGTCTGTGCACTAAATGCTGCAACAGACTCATGTCAAAGCTTTGCATTTTCTGTGCTTATTTTGAAACTCTGCCGTACAGCGTGCTTAGCCAGTGCGCTTCCTAACTTGTTCATCTCTTGTAAATTAAGTCATTTCACACCAGGATGCGCCAAATTAAAAATTTTCACACAAATCAAGTCACACTCTAAATTCCCCTATGCACTCGGAGATCTCCGAGGACCTGCGGGCTCTAATGTGCCGTGTTTATGATCCGACTAAAAACATACCTTCTCTGAGGTCCCCATTATCAGCGGTGACATTTATTTTTCCACGACACAAACAGGTTGACAGAGTTTCTTTTTTGCCGAAAGGTGCTTTCAACCGCCGCACCGCAATCTTCTTGTCACGAGGCAAACGTTGCTGTGAAAGTATTGTTTCTCACAAAGAAAATGTGCTGCTGTCATGCTCATAGCGGCGTAGACTTTTCACTGATTGCACACTTGTCGCAGGAGCAAGTTGCTGCTTGTCACTTTGGCCACCTGAAGCTGTTTTGCTGTTATTTTTCTGCTTTGACGAGACTATTTTGTCTGTAGCGCATCAACATGGTGCCACGCTGATTCTGTTATCTGTAGTAAGTGCCCGTTGACTCTTATTAATAATACCAAAGCTGGCTTCGGTTGGAAAACGTTGCCTCTAATGCACTTTAAGACACAGCTGGGCTGAGTTTCCCAAAATGAAAGCACTAAATTTGATTTCAGGATTTTGAAAAGTATCCTATTCAAATATGAGAAAACGAAGACACAAAGATTTGTCACAGTGACATTTGTGCTATTCAAATCAACTGAATAGGGTGAGGGCACAGTGAGTACAAGGACAGCTCAACATTGCAGAATAGAGAGCTTTAACTACGGTATTATACACTCACAATAAAGGGATTAAAATGACCCCTGTTAACAGTTGATAGCATTATTAATGGCAGACGGATGGCTTTATGCAGTAGGCGAAATGATGAGGTAATCGCTGAGATTAGCTGGTATTACTGTAAATATACATAATGTCATTTGTCTGTATTAATCTGACTTCTTATCTGTTCTTCTTGGAGACATAATTGTAGATATTCACAGAAATAAACGGCTCCAAGAGTTTTTGTTATGAGCAAAGCTTTATTTAGTTAAGATAATATTAGATGAGACTTCATCACCCTGAAGGAACTTTGTCTTGAACACAAAATTAGAAATACATATGGCACTCATTCAACATCAAAATGTCCTCTGCAAGAGAGGTCCCGTGTGCATCTGTTCCCATGCCACGATCCCTCAAAATGACAAATATTATACACATAAGCGTGTCCCACAGAGGAAAAAATGTGCTCCACTCAAACTGCATTAAAGAAAGCATTAAAGCTGCACCGATATATTATTGATGTGAAGAGTGGATGTGCAAAAGGGTCAATCTTAGTGAGAAACCCACTGAGAATCACCAGCCAACAGCACACTTCCTCTCAACATGTTCAGCTCATTGTTTAGCTCTCCAGTCCACAGTGTTGTACAGTTCATATCAGCCAACAGTTTTTACCAAAAATGCTCTTTTTCATAAACCTGCCAAGTACCGTACGGAGTGATTGATGCTGCTAGCAACTAGCTGCAGAACAAAACGGGGCATCTTGTAGCTGACGAGCCAGTGCGCGATTTCACTCCAGAGGTGGTGAACAAAAACGGAGCATAAAGGATGTTTTGACTTGTGTCCATCAAGTGACTTTTGTTCTATAACTTCAGGATTTATTAAGAGTTACTTGTCACATGTTAAAGTTGAATATACCAACATTAGATGTCATTTTCTTTGCTCTCTCTAATTTTCCAATACAGTTTGAGTTTGCTTTGAAAGTGCACAGAGTTCATCCGTCCACGTTTCATCTGTGATTGAAATTGAAGGTCTTTCTTTTATTAAAGATTTGCCTTCAACAATAATTGATTAGTAAACAGTAGAATTTAATAGTTCGTTTAACTAAATTTATGGATGATGAGCTTGATGACTCAGTTGCAGCACGTATGAGGTTGTCAAGTCTTAAAAAAAATCATGCTGATGTCCTAATGATGTCATGGTGAAGTCATGGAGATATTGAATATGAAACCAGGCTTCCAGGAAACACAAACATGAGGCTATACTATGATTTGTGGCCATATATATATATATATATGTATGTGTATATATATATATATATATATATATATGTATATGTATGTATATATGTGTGTGTGTATTGTGGCTCAAATCCTTTGAAATGACTCTTAATCTAATCAGAATGCTATCCATTGTTTCCATAATGATGGAAATCTGGCCTGTCGTTTCAGTCGCACGTACACTCTACCAGCTTGACTTGGAGAGACGCTGTGCTCTATGGGCCCAAAATTACGGAAGCGTGAGGAACACGGAGGAAGCTTGGAATTTCTTTTTTGATATATGCACCACTGAGCAACTCGTGTTCAAATAACTGAGGCACCATCTTGTCATCAATGCAACATGCACCTGAACCCGTGGATGTGGATTTGGAAAGGTGGAATCTATTCAAATATGCCTGCACTACGCGGTGCCGGTTTAAGCGTTTTGTTTTGCTTTTTTTTTTTTTTTTTTAAAACAAGAGTTACTCATTAAAAGTGCCTCAGCAGTAGAGCTTGGCCTTTTACTGCTTTGACCTTTACTTTATGATTTATATTTCCACCTCAGTTGAAATGCAGCACTGAGCTCCTGGGACCTCTTTTAAGAAGTCTGGTCTCTCTCGAGTACATGTATACATAGTGCTTTTTAAAAAATAAAATAAAATGCAGTTATCACTCAAGAGGAAGTGAGCACAGAGTGATGTAACTGTATTACATGATCTGGGATTAGAAATCCTTTATGTGCTTGCAAACAAGGTTCAACACCAGGACATCGCTGGGCTGCAGATCCTGCCTTTATCAAATATTGTTCCAATGTCTCAGTTTCAATATAATATATATTATCCTGTGTATAATATAACAATATAATATATGTAAACAAAGTGTGTTTTCGCATCAGTACTCAGTAAAGGTGCCATACCTTATTTTAATGGCTCTGCTAGCATTCATCCACAAGCTTGCATTAGTGTTTTGAGCTGTCCTGGTTTGTGACCCTGGCGCTGTGAGTGCTCGGATCGCGCTTTAGATGTTTACTTCAGGTTTGTGCCATAGCAGCGACTTCAGCCTATGAAAAAAACATAACAACCACAAATCTGCTTATAGCTAAAAAGTGAGGATTTATCCTGAAGCCTCCTGATTTAAGTGTAATGTAGCAGCAGCATGTGTGTCATTAGGTTAGGCCCTGTCTGTTCCTCTCCAATGATAATGTAGGATTTCCATGCAGTCTAGATTATGTGCTAAGAATAATGCCTCAGAAAGAACAGCACAATAATCAGCGGCACAGTGACCATTTCATTTTCTCTCTTTCTTTCTGTCTTTTTTTTTTGGTTGGGGGAACTTGAGCAGCAGACCATCTGCTCCTCAGAACCAAACTAAAAGCGGCAGTCTTTTGAATTATTCATTTTTTAAAACGAAGCACATTGTTAGAGACATTTGGTCGTGGTCTAAAAGCTTACCTTGGGTCCTGAAGAAGTGTGACTTTCTCTCACAACCGAGCAAAGATAGTAATGGATCCCCCAGAGAGAAAGGAATATGGGAGTTATCTACGTATGTCAGTCTGCGTAGCTTCTTCCTTTAACTTTAGTCTTTTTCCTTCAAATGCAAAGACCTTGTCTTATACTCAGCTTTCAGCCAGCTATCATCTCTACAACTATCCTGCCTGACACAGAGATTGGCTATTACCATATCATATGGCTGATTGAATCCTCTGTGCTGCCGGTGGCTTTGCTGGTGGCTTTCTCTGCAGCGTATGTACACTGTGTCCTGCTGTTTAGAGAATATAGAAAGAGCAGATAGATGTCAAATTGATTTATTTATCTAAAACGCACAGGTTGTTGTTGTTGTGGGAAAATGTAGCATCTTACTTTGAACTTCAAACAGAGATTACTGATGATTTTCCCCTTCACCACACAAATTTATCAAGCATCTCCGAAAGAAGATTTTTCTCTCCTTTCAAAAAGGTTTCACTTTTGTCTGTCCTCTCACAAAGAAACTGTTTCCATGAATGACAGCAGGTCATCCCGATAGATAACATCTCACCTTCATCTCGGCTTCACAGGGTCTCGGCCGCGTTTTGAAGACAGCCCGCCGCGGATTGCGGAGGACCCCTCGGATTTGATTGTCTCCAAGGGGGAGCCTGCCACCCTCAACTGCAAGGCAGAGGGCCGCCCCATCCCCAGCATTGAATGGTATAAAGATGGTGAACGTGTGGAGACAGACAAAGATGACCCACGTTCTCACCGCATGCTCCTGCCCAGCGGCTCCCTTTTCTTCTTGCGCATCGTGCACGGCCGACGGAGCAAACCAGACGAGGGCATTTACACCTGTGTGGCCCGCAACTACCTGGGAGAGGCCATTAGTCGCAACGCTTCACTGGAAGTTGCCGGTAAGGCCTTGTGTTATTGATCATCGTGCTAACAGTGTTTGTGGTTCCTTATGCACTATATCTTGATATGTATGTTATGTGTACACAGATGCCTCACAGTTGTGTCCCAGATCTTTTTGCAGCTGCCTGCCAGCTTTGTGTGCTTTTTAAGTGGACATGCTTAAAAATAATGACATGAAACACACATACAGTAGGAAGCGACTTCTAAAAATATTGAGGTGTAGGTGTAGGTAAAATCAGTGATAAGTAATGGCCTGTGGATTCGTCCTTATTTTTTTTGGCTACTTTGGCAACAGTGATGCAATTTGTCTTTAAGTCTGTGTGTGTTAGTTGTTTACACTTTTAGAAGAGGCAGGCATGCAATCATTTTGTGCCACATTAGGCAGCTTAGCTACTATACATAAATATTAAGATATAACAATACACAACACATGAAAAAGATTTCAGGTTTTCGAAGTGAAACTGTGGTATATAATGTAATGGGTGCAGCTGAGTGTGGATGCTGAGCCATAGTTAGTGGAGTTTGTGACACTACTTGATTTCACTAGAAACTTGACCCTTAAAACTTTTCAGATTTATAATCTTGGACTTATTTCATCATTAAAATCACACATCTGGATTTATTGAATGACGCATCTGTGGCTCCATTGTGCACTATTGTGTCGACCACAATCTCCACAGATGCAAAACTGTTTATTACACATTTGCTAAAAAGAGGGCAAACTCAGTCACCCATTGCGGCTGATGAAGCTTCAGTCCCCCAACTCCGTACTCATCTGCAGAACAACACCCATCTTTGACAGATCGTTCTGTGGCTGCAGCTTGCACTGTTTCTGCATAACTGCATAAAATGTGTTTTTATTAGTGCTGTTATCAGTGCAAAATGTGCCTTCAAAAAATATTAGCAAATGTCATATTTGATAGTAGTACGGTTTTTCTTTATTGTATTTTTCATTTCATGATGTGTAAAATGTTTTCTGCCTGGGCTGCGGGCAGGTAAGTTCATCTTTACGAAGCCACGCTGTTGTGATTTGCATTTCAGCATTCTCCTTAAAAGTTTTTGAAAAGGTTTCCCTGGAAAAGATTTTGTCTTGATGAGTGCATCTGTTGTTCTAAAAGCTGTATCATTTCATCGCAAATCAGCGAATTTTTAGAATTTTTCCTTTTTGACTATCTCCAAGTTGCGCAAAAAAATTCTCTTCTCCAAAGATTAAACATTTATAACGAGCACTGTGAATTTCCAGCTCCACACCTCAAACACTCTTTAAGACATATTCTTTTGAAAAATGCTCAGTTGATCCACACTAGAAGGCAAACATCTAAACATTTAAAAGAGCACATTTCTGCAACAAATCTTTGGACACCTGAAGCCAAGATAAACTTGTACCTGAATGATGGGAAGAGAAAAGCATGAAGGAGGCAAACGGCTCATTATGCGAAGCATATCGCATCATCTGTCAAACATGATGGGGGAGACGTGACTGCACGGGTATGTATGGCTCCCAGTGGAACTGAGTCACTGGTGTTTATGAATGCTGTGACTGCTGATAGAAGCAGCAGGATGAATTCTGTAGTGTACAGGGATATACTCTCTGCTTAGATTCAGCCAAATGACCTTCATCCGAGATTAAGAACAACCATTATATTTTACTTTTTTAAAAGTTTGTTCAGTTACTTTTGAGTCTGAAAAACAAAAGATTTTTTGTTAAATCACTTGAATCAAAGTTGAAAGTTTGCGCTTCAATCAGATCTTGATTGCTTAATTTAGAACAGTGTAGTTGTGTACGGAGGCCAACATTACAAAAAAGTGCAATTATCCACTCACTTACGGAGATGAATGTAACTGTTCAGGAGATGCATGGTTGTATGTTTGCCATGTTTCTTATACTCTGACACTATTGTGTCTACAGATTACTGTGAATGAGACTTTTGTTTGAGAGCCGAAGCACCCAGAACCATCAAGGAGGTCATCACGTTTCTCACTCCTTTTTTTTTGTGAGACCTCACCATTTAGAGGAATTAATCCAAAAAAAAAAAAAATTACAATACGTATGATTATGTGTACAAAACATTATAATTGTATGTGATAGAATTAGAGAAATTGGCATGTACTAAAGTCGGTCTCCTAATAAAGCATTTCTAGGTTGATAAATACTATTATAAAGGCTGTTTGTAGCTGATTTCAGCCTGGCATGGTTCCTGTAACGTGGCTTTGTATTGTGCTTCTGTTGGTTTTCAAAGTGCAAGGTCCCCGCAGCTTCTCAAACAATTGTGACTGAAAGTAATGCTGAAATTAGCAGCACTGATTGGCCATTTTGGTAATTGCAAGCAAGCATACACCCAGCATGACCCATGGAGCCAAATTTTAGGAAATAATGCCAGGCTGACATAAATTATGCTTTGATAAAATGAGATCATTATGTTGCTATAGTTCAAGTCTACAAACTACTTAAGGAAAGCCTGAGCCAAAAAAATAAAAAATAGATAATCATTATTTGCTAATTACTCTCCCTGTGATTTTCTGTCTAAATGGATTTAACATTTAGTAAAGGAAATGCCAGAAAATTCACCATTATAATTTCCTAAATCTAAGTTCACGTCTTCAAATGTCATTTCGTCAAACTCCTCATATTTGAGCAATTGGAAGTGGTGAAATATGAGGATTTTTACAGCCAATATAGAAGATAAGGCATTACTCATCTTTTCTGTTGGGGCTGCACTGATGAATGTTTGTGTCGGCTGTACTGGACGTCTCTGTGGCAGTTAGATTACCATCTCCTCACCTCAGAGTCAGTGTGTACAAACAAGATCAGGAGAGCATGCCTTTAAAGCTTTGTTATTTGTTAGCTTGCTGCTGAGCAGTACAGAGTGTGAGCTTCCTCATCTGTTGGTGGAAGTGTGCACTGAAGTAGAAAAAAAGACTCCCTCATGGAGCCGTGTCTGTTATTTTTTCACCCCCGTCCAGGACACGTGCCATTGTCTTCCCCCTCTCCTCGTTGCGCCGGCGTGGCTCGGCCCTGGGCTGAACTGCGGCTCTCTTTGGCACGAGAAAATGGATTAGTCAGTGGGTTGATTAGGGGAAGGAGCCTAACAGATTAGCAAGGTCGAATTGTCCTCGTTAAAAAACACAAAACAGCAATTTGAGCAAGGCCTTATCTGCCTCCATACTGAGGCTTCTTTTCTAGCAGTGTGTGTGTGTGAGCGCTCACGGCTGGCTGACCTCATCTGTGGCTTGGGTCCAAAAATAGGGACAGTCTCCTCAGATATCCTGCATATTGACAACCATAAGTGTCTGCAAGTAATGCAGATATCCAAGCTGGGAGGAGATATAAGGCCGTCATATTGCCTCTTTTGAGTTGTTGATAATAAATGTAGCTTTGTGTGCTGCTGATTACAGTGCAGTCATACTGGTGAAGGGATGATTCACCTGCAGGCACCGAGTGACTAACAGTATTAATAAGTGCCTGTTTTGCTCTAATCTCAGTGCCTGCAGCCTACCAGGGCATATGCTAGGACAGCATGATGGTGGTCTTGGATTCCCCCTCCCCTCTGTGTGAGGTTGTGCTGACTGTGGGGTAAATAGTGACCCAATTAGCACTGGCATCGGGGGCGGGGGGAGTCTGCAGTGTTAATGAGAGGCCAGTTTTAAGCTGGTGGCCTTGCAGAAATGTGTGTCGGTTGTGGCTCGGTGGCAGGAGTCTGAGAGACAACAGGTGGGAGGAGGAAGAGCTTAAACCTCCCACTGAGCAGAAATGAATACTGATGCATCTGTGTGAATGCTGCAGCTCAGAACAGGGAGCAGGAGTGCTGACACTAACCTGGTTTTCACCACATTAATTACTCATTTATTGCCGGTGAATGATGCATAATGCATTTGGCTGCATGACTAAGACTTTTATCTGTAGTGCACTAGCCACATGCCGTACTTTTGCTTGAACTACTTCGGCAAATTGTTCTTATTCCTCTGAACTGCAGGGTGTAATGGATAACTGTAGGGCTCGAAGACTTGTAGAAGCCCACGTGAAACATTTTTGGAACGTAAGCCACATTTTTTCAGAGCACCACTGCTACAAATTAAATTCTAGCTGATCACAGAAAACTAAATTAGAGATGTTTAACATTTTGCCCATTGTTTCATCTTTCTGTTCATTCACACTGATACATTTAAATTCTTTCACAGAAGTATTTGTTTGCTGACACTGGGGTGAAGCACATTTCCATTCTATTATTTTTCCACATTTTTTCCGCTGTGGTTGGTTTCATTCATGCAATGCTTCTTCCCAGGGGAAACCATGGATGTGTTAAGAGAGCTGACTATGGGCGCAACCCAGTGGCAGGGTACATATCACATGGGCTAAAAAGCCCTTAGGAATAGAATTGCTGGTTCAGGGCCTAGCGGCTTCTAACTGCATGTCATTTCCCTGCTCTCTTGTCTGTCAGTCTCTGCTGTGCACGGTCAAATAAAGACTAAAGGCTGCCAAAAACATGTAAAATAATAAAAAAGACAGCTAATAATTTGCTGTCACTCACCAATTTGCATTTTATGTGGGCGACATTTATTTTCAGAGTCTCACAAATTGAATAACTGAATTGAATTATTTCTTAGCATAATACTCTTTAGATAGTTTAGTTTGAAGGTTGGTTTGAAATGGTTCAGGGACTGATATTTTGCCCATCTGTTCTGCAGTCAAATTAGGGAAGACTGTGGTTGGAGCCTGTGGTTGTGGCCAATGAAGTAGTGATCTTGTTACTTTTAAAATGATTGCTTTGAAGTTTGGGACCAGGTGTGCAATTACATGGAGTCAGGTGCTGTCGTCAGAACAACTTTGTGATCAAGTCAGTGTGCCATCAATCTGCAAATGAATGGGTTAAAGTTGGCATGAACTGTGAAAATCCAATGAAAATTGCAAATCCGTTGTTGTCTACATGCACAGAAATAGACCCTGTGCACAAAAAAATGCTAACTTCCCGTTTTAAGACCGGATGTGGGGTTGTACATT